TCGTATTCGGAACTCCAGACGGCTGCCTGGACGCTGCAATCATGTTGTGTGCTGACTTTTCTTACAATGTCCCACTGTCTGGCTACCTGCATAAAGTCAAGTGCTCGGCGCAAGAAATACACATGCGTTAAAATAATTAGTGGCGTTAATTTTTTTTTTGCTTTGCGTTAACTTGACAGCCCTAGTTAAAACTGCTTCTACTGTCACTATCTACTTGTGGAGAACAGCCTGTCCTTTTTTTTTGCATACAGTGTGTACTTCCTTTCTGTTGGACCTCCCTTTTTATGTTCTTAATAACCCTCCCCTTTCTCCTTCCTTTCTCTCACTCCACATGTACAGTTGCATCTCCAGACACCAGTGTTTCCATCTTCTGCTGGCAAGTCAAGGCCTACGGTCAGGGAACCCCATCCACCTACATCGGGGTTTTTGACATCAACCGTTGGTACCACGCACAGATGCCAGACTCTTTGAGGTATCATTAACCGCGTTCACACCGGAGTACTTTTCCCACAATCGTTCACCAGAACTACGACATATTTGCGTTCACACCAACAAGCCCCAGGAACTAAATTAGTTCATCAGAACCTTTTTTACCCCCTTTTCCGTCCCTGCTAGAGAGCAGGGACTTTCGTGGGAGAAAAAGGTTCCTATGTCTGATTGGCTGGGCGGATTGCAAACCACGCCCCGTAAAACTCCCAAAAGGTTTTGTGAAGCCGCCATTTTAATTATCGATGGCATGGCATTATTAGCATTAGCATTAGCCCGGTGCGACATGCACGAGAGACTAATTTTATGGCAAAATAAAACATGGGAGCGGGGATGAGGAGTGTCGGCGTTCTGTATTTACGCGAAGGCTTCTATAGAGCGGCTGGGATCCCAGAAGGAAGCAGCAGAAGAGAAGAAGTGACGTCATGCGCTTCATTTGCCCATCCTCCTCGAGGAGACTTATTCCGGTGTGAACGCATCTGTTACTGAGTTCATCCAGAACTAAAGAGTTCTGATGGAACATAAAAGTGGGAAAAGTCACTGGCG